TTTAATAACTGCACTTATCCCGCCGACAAGATGCTAAGGCGACCAAGTTGCGAATAATAAAGCATCTGACATTGCATTTCAAAGATGCTATATTTGTGAGAAATAAAATCTCCTTGGAAATATCACTTTCATCCCACGTACATTTAATAATTCGTTATTTAATATGCTTATCTATTAATAACTTTCTCTCATGTAACCTGTAAATTAAGTAAACGATTAGTGCTAACATTTTTATGGTTGGTGCAAATAAATCAAATTTCAATTCACAGGTGTCTTTATCATTATTACTATATTTTTTTATATTTAAAGACAGTCACAAAGTTTGTTATTATGAAATTCTACTTTTTATCTGACGATGAAAGGGTCGTATATGTTGTGCAGTTAAATTATATTTTCAATCTGAAGCACGAATAATAAAGCATTGTAATCCGAGAAGCTTCAGTGACAGTAATTTATGCTGCTTTGTTTAACACATTGCGCGAATCGTACATTTACTTTTCAATATACGGATGAATGCGCGTTGCGGATGATCAGGAAACGGAAACATTGTCCCCGATATTACATTATTAACGAAACAACACGCTACTAGCTGAAAAGGCACTCTACCTGATCGCATACAGCCATGAAATGTACAATAGCGCGCGATGTATCGGATAATGGAACTAATAATATCTGCTTCGAAACAATAAAATAAATGCAAAGATGTAATATAACAAATATATGTAGCAAGAAAAATCTATTCTTCATTTATCTCATTATAAAATAAATCTTTTAAATTATATATAATATAATGTTAAAATTTAATGTACAAAGTATGTTTGTCGCATATAACAATTCATAAATAATTACATACTACAAAATTTAACGGAGAGACAGGAAGAATTAATATAATTTTCCGCGTTATATGCATATTACATAATACATATTTAGATTAATTTCATAAAGTCATTAAATATATGCCATTGTAACGTCTACGATATTTTTAGAAACCCTTCTGTATTCTCACGGTGGCATCTTTACGCGCGAGATACTCAAAACGTTGTAATTTCATCGCTCGCGTTGCTCTCCAACGGTTCTGAATCATCAACGCAGCATTTCTCAGGTCGCGCCAACTTCGTTGCGCTCACATCAGCAACGTAGCTCTCCATCTCTTCTGCAACGTGACCACCTCTTTCTTAGCTCTTGCAACTTCTTCGTGTTTCCTCGTACCTGCCTCCACCACCTCTGAAGCTGTATCGCGGCTGTTCGAACGCGCAAATATCTTTTGCGCTCCTCAAGATTACAGTCAATTTCGATCACGGGCGAGGACAGCGCTATTTTGCGCTTCCACATGCGTTGGATTATTATCGCGGCGAGATTTCTAGGTTCGCGCAAGAAGTTTCTCACGTAAACGTACCAGAGTTGCGCCCGCCTCCATCTCTGAATCACGCGTGCCGCCCGATCGCACCGCGGCGCCTGGTACCTGTGGATATAATCTGCCAGAGAAACGACAGAGTCTTCTCGCAGTGGCCATCGGCAATGCTCTTCGCGTCTATGTTACCCTCAAGAACGTAGCCAGTCTGACGCAACCCAACGACAAATCCACGTTGTGCACCTTCTGTAGACGCGATATCGCCGGTACCCGGCAACGTTGGGTCAATCTCCCTCTATCCCTTATATAAAAGAAATCTAACTACGACAAATAGATATCACCCCTTTCTTCTAGTAAGAATTAAACTATGACTAATTATTATTTTACTAAAAATCTTAAATAATTTAATGTGTACAGTTAAATGATTTCATAAATTAAACTACACTCAATAATTCTTAACACTCTATTTTTAATTCTCAATTCTCAATTCTCAATTCTCAATTCTTAATTCCCAATTATAAATATTTATTATTTATTTTAGAAATATCAGTATCCGTTATTCAAGCCCGATTTTCTATCCCCTCTCTCCTTTATATAAAAGAAATCTAATTACGACAAATAGATATCACCCCTTTCTTCTAATAAAAATTAAACCAACTAATTATAATTTCACTAAGAATCTTAAATCATTTAATCTGTACAGTAAGATATGATTTCATAAATTAAACTACTCAATAAATCTTAACACTCCATTCTTAATTCTCAATTCTCAATTCTCAATTCTCAATTCTCAATATTTATTATTTATTTTAGAAATATCAGTATCTATTACTTAAGCTCGATTTTCTATCCCTTATCTAAAAATTCCTCGATTCTAAATCTGTTTGTATAGTAATGACAACAGCTGAGATGTATCGAGTTACTTTGTAACAGTGAGAAACGGAAGTGTTCGAGAAGTCATACAAGATTAAACGAATGCAAAACTTCAACAAGTTCAGCAATATTGAATTATGTAGGATTTCAGCGATAAACTCCGACGGCGGCAGCGCTTTGGCTCGACAGTAAAGTCAAGCATAATCAATCATTAAAAACAGATGGCAGTCGTAACTTGCAATGCTATTTATGCTAATGAATGTTATGGATAAAAGCGCATTTTCCCAAGCGACAGACGTACAATAAGATATATTCTGCAACTCGGAAACATCGGTAACCCGTCGCGTCGTCGGCGCGCTTTCCCGCGCTATCTCTCTCAAGAATATTCTTCGCTGAATTAAAGAATTAGACATAAGGATATTGTATTTATTATAATACTAGTATTACATTGTATCCACCACGAAGGATGTTTTCGTCCAATAGACAGACACGTATTCTGCGCATATTACAATCATGTCGACACATATCTTATATTACATATCTCTCTTCTAGTATAAAGTTTCTAGTATAAAGAAAGACGAATATTAATTACAGCGGAAAATAGTTGCTGACAAAGATAGCACGAGTTCCTGTTAACAATTTGCGATCTCTATCCGACTTGATATAATTTCCAGTTCCATTTAAACGTCGATCATTATTAAAGTTTCGTAAAGGTTTCGTGAAAATCTGATTCAGCTGCGAAATACTGCTGAATTATGAGATATTGCCGCAAGTGCGCCGCAACAGATATATATGGTAATCATGCGGTAGGTAATTTCATCAACGAAATTAATATGTGACTTGTCACATATTTGAACGAGCGATGCCGATTCATACTAAATATATCTAATTCGCTCCCCAGAAATTCGCAACTCGAATAGCAAAATAAAAATGCAGTACGTTATAAACTCGCAATGCGTGATCTCTTGATTTTCTTTTAAATAGATGTTTAAAAATAAAAAAAATTGTACAATTTTAGGAAATAAGAAATGTGATGATAACTGATGATTTCTTATTATCGGCATTACGCGCGCGTATTAGAAAAATGAATATTTTCTCCGATTCATCTCATTAACTAATCCCTGAAATAATGTCGTATGGTATCCATTTAAACGTTCAAAAATTTAATGTGTGCAAAATTAATAATAAATACTAGCGTATTTGTAAAGTTAACATTTCTTTGCTTAAATATCTACATTTATCCACGAAATAGCACCCCTAGAAACGAGGTAAAGTAGAGGATAGAGATTAAACGAAGCGGAGATGCCTCGCAAGCGAAAGGGGTGGGGAAGCTTTTCTTGTTACGGTGTAACTAACTAATGTAGAGAAAATTTAGACATTTCTGCCATTGCGATTGCACTTTTCTCTCTTTCTCTCTCTTTCTTTTTCTCTCTCACTCTCTACATAATTCTGGTTCTGCGGTGATGAAACAAACATTACTACATAACAAACTTCGAGGAAATTCCGAGTAAATATGCACGATGTAACTGCGTTTAAACGAATGTCGAATTACGAACGTAGGGGTGGTTTATAGTTCACTGTGGAATATGAAATAATAAGCGTCAAAATTAGAAATTGAAAAAACCGAGATAATAAAACAATTTCACTACACTGAAAATAAAAATTTATTATTTACAAGAAAATAGATGTCTTTGAATTTAGTTTCCTTAATTCAAAGAAGTATTAGGTAGATTCGAGAAAATATTTTTAAAATGTTTCAGAAAAATTTCTTCAAATCTACCTAATATACTTCTTTGAATTATAAAGAAACTAAAATCGAAGAAATCTATTTTCTTGCAAATAATACATTTTTTCAGTGCACTGATTAACTCTAACGTTGCTTAAGAAATGACAACACATCTTTAATGATATTTACGTAGTATTTTGTTTCGTTTTGTATTCAATGTTAATCGAGCAGCACAAATTATATTATTGAAGTAACATATTTATGTTGCCTCAATGTTCGGAAACGTGTTATAATTCGTAATACTGACTAATTTGAAACATTAAAATTTATGTAAATTTATGAAATTTAGTGTCATAGCGTCTCTGATATAATTTGAAATCTGTGAATGAATTAATTAGCCTCCATGAATTATATATATATCGTACTCCGCTAACCAACCCTCCGCACATATATTATTCGCCCTGACCGTATTGTGACCGCACGAACAGTAAATTGTAATAACAGATTTTACCGCAATAAAACGGGAAAATTCAAAACGCGACAAATTGAAATGTAGAGAACGAGAAAACTCGTGATTAATTCATCTGTCATTGATATATGTATATATATTCAGCCGGCTACAAGCTATAATTGCATAAGATATATGCAAGTTTTAATAGACAGTAATTCCAATTTCACATAACAAGCACTCAGAATATTTCTGATAATTGATATAATAAATTAACACCTGCAACACTATAATAAACGAATACGGCAAATGACTGTCGTCGTATTTCAATTTAACTTTCAAATATATCAGTGAAAAGAGATTAAGTCTACAAATTTGCTATGTAATAATTAAATCATAACTTCAAGAAACATTTTTATTCGTATTTTTCCTCAATTCAAATATAACACTAGATTTATATAATCCAGATATATCGTTACATTGACTTCTTTTTTTTTAATTTAAAGCCCACTGCAGTGTTTCAGCGATTTTGATCTCTTTTGAACTCGTAGACTTCCACACTGATCGTACACTTCGCCACTCATCATTGCTCGACTTTCCAGGTCGTTGATAATTAGCAGTTGAGCTGCAACCCAGGTGCAATAACCCAGTCGCGCAACGACGCCGATGACAATGCCAGGCTCGGAACAACGGCATCAGTGAAAGATGGTGGACAAGGAAGAGTTGAGAATAAAGAAGGCGAAGGCCCCACCACCGCCGCTGAATCTCAGCGAGGCGATCGAGGATGAAGTGCTGAACCAAAAGACTGCTAGAAGTGAGTAAAGTACCGCATCTGCCCCACACAAAATGTCCTACGAAGCGTGCGAAGATTTAAAGCTGTCTCGGCAATCCCAAGCAAAATGTGAATATATGAGATGTGTGGAAGCGAAATTCACATTCTCCATTTTCCAAGATTTACCGGTAAAGTCGGAAAAACCACTCATACATTTCAGGCACTGAATTGCCTGGATTTTCTTTTAACCGATTGGCTTTTTCCGTAATTTCCGTTTTCTTCAAAACGAACAAATTTTTCGTTTTCACGGTGTAATAATTTATGATCATCCCCTGTGTCAAGAGGGTATTATCATTGAATGAAATTTTACAATACGTATATATGCAGTGAAATAGAACTCCATTATGCAGAAGCAATATATAATAGTATAATATTGTATGAAAACTTTAATCACTCTCTTTTATCTTGCATACACAGACGAGAGGAAGATCATTTCTTTAAAGCAACCAACCGTGTATGCTTTTCGGTCTCTTTATTTAAAAAAAACACACACGAGAGAAAAAGAGAAATTAATAATTACGTGTAATTAAAAGATGTTTTGTGTATTTTTCTATTTTGCTATGTGGACCGTGCAGTCTATTAACATGCAGTCGCGCGGAAGTAAAAAGGTATTCAATTTGCATTAAACATTCGCAAAATCAGCCATTCAACTAATTAACAACACACTGTGCACACACTCGCGTATTTCATCCCCGCCTGCCTTCCGTCCTTTCACCTCAATTGCACACACGATCGATATCCGTGCGGACCGAATTTATAAAAAACAGTGTGTGCAGCGGTAACGACAGCACGTGTGCCGCTACGACGTGACTGTCGGAAGTTTAAAATAAAAACCCCGTAACGCGCGCACGGGAATTAATTGAATCCGTACTATTTTACGTTTCTCGTTCGAGATCCTACTTTCCACAAAAACCATTACAAAGTAATGGAATAATTAATCCGTGGTATATCCGCGTTGTATTGAAAATATGATTCATCTTTTGCAAACACCAGATGCTAAATATTAAAAAATTGGAGATTTAATCCATGTATATCCATATTACGTAGGTAGAAAAATATTACGTAGATAGAAAAATATTGTCACGTATTTCGTAAAACAAATAAAAATTCGAAGAGATCAAAAAACGTTACACTACGTCAAAGTGATTTGACGTATTTCGATATAGAAAATTCAAATAAAGTCATTTCGTAATGCATATAGTTTTATCTCAAAAATTGATTTAATGATGGATATCATAAAGCAACTGATATATTTTAATTAGAGAGAAAAGTGCCATTTTACATGGTTCGGGGACTGGATCTTGGTAGCCTAATAATAATAACAATACTGATGTGTGAATTTTGTATACTTTTTCCAAACTTGTCAGTAAACTGCGTGCGACCGATTTTTTGTCGATCTTTAAAACACAACTCCTTGTTGGAACAGCAAATCTCCCATATCTAAATCGATAATCGATTTAAATTTTGACGTTAATAAGCATCTTTGTTAAGTCACTGTAAAGAATTTATTGTAAATGTAAGGAGGTGTCTAAGTTCAAACCGTGGATGGGACGATACTTTTCGCAATAAATTCTTTACAGTGATTTAATAAGGAAGCTCATTAGCATTAAAATTTAAATCGATTATCGATTTAAATATGTAAATTTACTGTTTCAACTAGGAACTGTGTTTTTAAGAGCGGCAAAAAATCGGCGCGCAGTTTACTCAGTTTGGAAAAAGTATACAAAATTTACACAATATTATTATTAGACTACCAAGACCCAGTCCCTAACCCGTAAAATGACAGTTTTCTCTCTAATTAATTGTATATCATAACGGTTCTGTTTCTTATTATGAAAGTTATTATTATAACTTTGAAACTGTAAGTTATTGATAGGTATAGAAATGAATTTCTTAAAGACCGCCCACTAACTACATAGCACTATTTCTTATTAAAAAATGAATCAAAAAGTCCTGAGCCACTTTTTCCATAATGCTTAATAAAACAGTAATTATTAAGTAAAGTCAATCCAAACAGCATTGTCTTTTAGCCGATCGTACGTGAGTGATCCGCGCGCCTGATAGAATGCATAAACGCGTGGATCACTCACATACGGTCGGCTGAAGTATTATTTGTAACAAACATTAAAATAAAATACCTCCATCTCCAAATTTCACTACGAGATGACAATATTATATATCGATTAATATCGAATGTCACAGTAACTCTGTTGATTTTATTTCAAAGAAGGTAAAAGAAAGTGCCAAGCACACGCTTTCCCATACAAAAGATTTGATGTCAAAGACTAGCACCAATTTGTAGTTGTCATAATATATAATACATATGACTATGTATATTATTATTACAAAATCTGATATATAAAATGGTATAATAATAATAATAATGTTTCGTTACATAATTATTCTTTATATTTTTAACTAATAAGCGTTTAACTTTAAAAATCAATGTTATCTCACGATGTACATATTTTTTAAATAATATCTTTTTTATTCCACGTTTTATATCTATTTTCTATATTGTGTTTCTTTTCTCAGTTCTTAAGAATGATCTTCTTCTACACGAGGCTGTGATGAAGAACGAAGCGGACACCGTTCGCAAAATACTTAAGGAGACTGTCGACGTAGATTCCAGAAATAATGTAAGTCACTAAAAATATACTCCGAAAACAAAAATACATAATAAAACACCATTTGTCGTTCAATTTGTCAACTTTTTTGACAAGATTTATTAAAAGCGATAAGCGCTTCTAATATTTATTACTAAAAATCTTTCTCAGTATGGTCGTGCTCCGATTCATTGGGCAGCGTCTAAAGGAAACACAGAAATTATTGAAATGCTGATACAAGCTAAATGCGATATTGAAGCAAGAGATAAGGTATGACACATCTCTCTTCTTCTTCTTTTAATTATAATCTATTAAAGAGAGAAAGGTTCATTTAAGAAATAACTGTAAATTGAGGTAGCAAAGTAAAATACATTTTCTCGTAAAAGAGAAAAACTTTTGCACGTTAAAAACAAATGGAGTCTCTAAGATTCAATATTGTCGAGTGCTTTCATACAGGAAATTAATGTGAAGGTGCCGATTGATAAATGGTTATACTTTATTACGAAACATTAAATATGTTTTTTGGTGCGACACTTCTTTCGGAATTTTTAATCTAACCGGCGACCGACTTGATGAAATTCCTCGCGTCGAACATTAATTTCCGAGCTGTTCATTTCTCTTTCAAGTTTGGAATGCGACCCTTACATATGGCCGCCCAACTCGGACACCGAGACGCGGTGAAGATGTTGATAAATGCCGGGGCAAGCGTATCTGCGCTCAACAAGGTATAACCTTCAAAAATCGCTTAACAATCGCTTCATTAAATATTTTCACGTAAAAGTAGATTCAAGCTGTTCCTTCGTAATACGACTTTCAACTTTGAAGTACGACTTCGTAAATGTCGAGACTCGTTGAGAAAGTTAAGTATATATATAGGAAAGTTGCGCGGAATATTGCGATAATAATCACGTATAAAAAAACTTTATTTAGATAACGAGAAAACTTTATTCAAATAACGCAAAAAAATTTATCCGTTACATAAATTTACAGAACACATCGTACGGGATCAAATCGTATACGTTTAATTGAAGTTTATTGATCGCAAACATTGTGTAGTAAAAAAAATATCGAAACAGAAATCTCGCGGAGATTGTGGAAAAAAGTGAAATAAGTCACCGAGAAACCGCGACGAGGTTGAAATCAATAACGTGTCAATATTGATATTGGCATCGGTCCTAAATAGTAGGCGCGCACGCTTTCATCGCGCCCCTCCGGCACGTCGCGTAGAATTTTATCACGCGCGTGCCGATGCGAAGAAAGTGAGAGAATTATAGAAGAATTCGCGATGGTCGCGCGAAGGCAACCGCGGAGATTCCTTTATGGATTGAAATTACGAGAAGCATTTACGGCGCGGTGCCACAGTGGGGCCGATTCCCGAAAAACTGGCCAAAAGTCGAAAAATGAAGTTTTAATTTATGGGATTTGAAGTATATAGAGTAATGTTCAAAAAATATGTAACGGCCCTTTATAAGGGCTAATTAAGTATACATGGCAGGTATAACCCAGTACAAAAAGGACCTTCGCACGAGTAACAGCTCGAGCGTCCGAGCTCATGTTCAAGCGTCATATTCAAAAATTCGTTAGAAAATCGTAAAGTTGATCTTTTTTAATTCTACAAAATGGATGTTTTGAATGGAAAAATGTAGTTTATTATCGTATTTGTTAAAAATTATAACAAATAAATATAAATTAACAGTAACGCAATGTTTGAAGTGTAAAATAATGAAAATTTGTGTGCAATCGTTTCAGAAAAATAGAGAAAAGTTAAAAGTCCCACGGATTCCCACAGTGAAACAAATTTTAAATTAAAGTTTATATTATTATGTAACAACATTTGTAAAAATTAGCTGCTACTAGCTGCTACTTTGTTTTTAATGTACATTTGTATTTAAAACCTTCCAAATTCGCATAAACTTATTAACGCCTATGCTTAAAACACTAACAACATAGTAAAACTAATAATTGAAAATAGAACATGACCTTTAACTATGTAAATTGGAATACAATAATTGTTTAAACAATAATTGTTTAAACAAATTACTGCAAAATAAATTTTTTATAAATCTGACAGCGGCAATGCGCGCGCGCGCGTTCGTTGAAGTAATAGCTGTTGTGTTGAATACAATATATAAATTCAAAAAGAATGTTAAACGATGTAGTCCAGACCGAGCACGGTGACCGTGGAATGTTCTAGAAAAATTCCGAAATGATGACGTAGAAAAAGAGAAATTTTCTAAGATGTCCTGATTGGTTTATGTTAACGGGAAGGGGATGAGCAGCAAACCGAGGGGATGAATAACGGTCGCGCAACGGAAAAGGTTAGTCGTTTCTGAGCGTTTTAGAGTGTTTCTGTGCGTTTCTGAGTTCTAAACGAAGAATAAACGAATACAATATTAAACAATTTCTCACACATCGTGAAGGATCGTTTTGCAGAATGGATGTTCCAAGTACAAGTAAGTGCATTATAAATACACAGCCATATATATATATATATATATATATATTATATTATAAATTTTTGTACTCTAATATATTTTAAAAAGACTAATGATTTTTTATTATTATGAGATGTGAGTATGAGATATAGGAAACAAAATAATATAGTAAAAAAATATTATTTATGTTTGTGAATATATTTATTATTTTAACTGTTGTGAGTACGAAATGTTACTGGCTGGAAACTTTTGCACGCCACTGTATATATATTTACACATGTATATATACATATATCTACATATATATAAATATATATATATTTTACATACATACATTAATTTAAAACTTTGTTTCTTCAGGTTCTGATAGTACCCAACAAATTTCTGGTTTGTCGAGGGAAGAAATTTTTACATTACTGAAAGGCAATTTAAATGACAATGCTGCTGTAGCTTATGAAAAAATTGAAGATCATTTGTCGAAAAAGTTGGAGCGGCCTTTTATATTATCAGGCAATGCGAAATCTGTCATTCTTAAACTATTATATAAGTTGAAAACAAAGTGGCAGGAAGTTAAGCGAATAGAACAAAAATTTTTGGAAAAAAATCAGCAGTGGTTAAATGTAATTGTTTATCTCGATGAAAATAAAGAAGATGAATCTCAAACTACATCATCGTCAGATAAAGGACATATGGTCCACCCAAAACCGGAATTTGCACAATGCAGTGAAAGAACGAAGCGAAGAAGAACCGAAAACATATTCAAACGCAATCAAGTATCGAAGAACTCTCCTATGCAACACACATGAAGTTACGAGCTGAAGGGAAAGTGGAAGCTGCTAAAATTGTTAAAGATATATCTTCGAGTAGTCCATCTAAGGTTCAAAAATACAGAAGTTCTTTGGAATTAATTCCTGAAGTCACTCTTTCTACTGATAAAGCTGTTTCACTTATAATGAAACAAAAACTATCGCGAAGTCAATATCAGGGGCTAAGAAATTTAAGTGTAAAAAAGAAATGTAAATTATATCCATCTTATAAATTGGTAAAAGCCAAGCGTGACTGTTACCCAAAAAAAAATAGTATTAGCATATGTGAAACCAGTGCAGAAGTTAAACTACAATCTCTACTGAACCATACAATCAATCGAATTTTGAATATTCAAATGGATGTCATAAAAACTTTGACTCGTGAACAGCTTTCAAATTTAAATTTAATTTGTAAATGGGGCTGTAATGGTAGTTCTGGCCTTAGTATATGTAAGCAAAAATTTAGTGATGATGATGATGAAAGTAAATCAGATGCTAATATTTTTTTTACTTCACTTGTTCCACTGCAACTTATATCGATTGATAAAAATACATCTAAAAAAATCATTGTATAGAAAAATCCGAGACCATCATCACCACGCTTTTGTAGGCCAATAAAAATTAAATTTTTGCATGAAACTACTGAGGCCACTGTCAAGCAAACAGAGAATATAAAAGAACAAGCGAGCAAACTTATATCTTTTAACACTGTATTAGATGGAAAAGACATCACAGTTAATTATGAACTCGCTTTGACGATGGTCGATGGTAAAGTTTGCAACGCAATTACTGGCACTGCGTCTACTCAACGTTGTTATTTATGTAATGCTACTTCTAAAGATTTTAATAATATAGATTTAATTTAAAAAAAAGAAATTAATAGAGATAATTTATGTTTCGGGTTATCTACATTACATATGTGGATTCGATTCTTTGAATGTTGTTTGCATATTTCGTATAAAATCGAAATTAAAAAATGGCAAGCGCGAGGAAATGAAGAAAAGAAATTAATAGAAGATAGAAAAAAAACAATTCAAAAAGGTTTTCGCCAACAGTTAGGCCTTATTGTTGATCAACTAAAATCTGGATTTGGCAATACGAATGATGGGAATACTGCTCGACGATTTTTTGAAAATGAATCCATTTCCGCTGCTATAACGGGCGTTGACGAAGATCTTATTAAAAGATTTCATATTATTTTACAAGCTATTACAAGTGGTCATGAAATTAACATACCAGATTTCCAAGAATACATAATACAGACAGCTCGAAAATTTGTCGATTTATATCCCTGGTTCTACATGCCTACTTCTATACACAAACTTTTAATTCACGGCTCTGAAATAATACAATCTGCTTTACTGCCAATCGGACAAATGTCTGAAGATGCACAGGAGTCTTGTAATAAATATATTAAAAGATACCGTGAAGATTTTGCACGAAAATGCAGTAGAACAAAAACGATGGAAGATCTTTTCTTGCGCTTGCTAGCGTCATCAGATCCGTATATATCAAGTTTAAAAAAATTGCCACAAAAGAAATTAAAATCCTTATATCCGGAAACAGTTGAATTGCTTACTTCACCATCACTTTATGCGTCCAGTGCTGATTCTATCTCTTCTTTTTCGATATCAGCAGATTCTTCAGGTTTAGATACAGATAATTCAACTGATGATGAAAACTAATTTGTATGTAAATTTTATGTAAATATTAGGTACTTGTATGTAACTATTTGTATGGAAATAATAGATTAATATTTTTGTAAACACAAATTTATTTTTTACATTCGGCTTTGTATTGTACTTCTTAATTTATTTGTCACAAGTTTTTTCATAAAATAAATAAAAATTATGGATTTTAGAAATTTTGTATTCGTCATTTTACATCTGCCATTCATTTTGTTTCCAGATTCGTTATTTGCGACCCCGAAAACCTATAAATTCCACGTTTCACATAAATTAAATAAAAATAACGGTTTATAGATATGCTTTTTAGTATTTCGTAGCCGCCATTTTTTTTTGTTTTATTTTGATTTCAGATTACTAACCAACGACTTTGAAAACGTATGTGTACAAAATTAAACATAAAATCAATAAAAATTACGATTTATAGATATGCTTTTTAGTATTTTATAGCCGCCATTTTTTTTTTATTTTGACTTGAAATTCGTTATCAGCGACTCTAAAAACCCCTATATACCAAGTTTCAAGTAAATATCTTAATTTTTCGACTTTTGGCCAGCTTTTCGGGAATCGGCCCCACTGTCGGCCCACGGCACCGCGCGGTGTAACGAATTCTCCTTCGCGGGGAAGTCCTCCTTTATTTGCAGCGCATATATAAACAACAGATTTCTTTCCGTTTAGAAACAGTACACACTCCTAATGTGCGGTGCTCGCGGCAAGAACGCAGCCGTGGTGGAATACCTCGCGGAAGCGGTGGAATCGTTAAACGTCGAGGCCACCGACAGCACCGGGGCGACTGCCCTTCACCATGCAGCCATCACCGGAGGACATCCCGCGGTAATCACGGCGCTTGCAAATATCCCGCGGATCGTGCTGGACGCCACGGACAAGGTAAACGGGAATATCCCTTTGATTACGGTATATCACTTCAATTTTTACTACACGTGAATACGCCGCGCCAGTATGTTCGCATTTTGCAGAAAAAATAATTTACAAGTTTAAGACAGTATTTCAATTTTCTAACAAAAGATCATTTTATTTCGTTGGTTTCTGCAGAAACTGCAATAAGACGAGCTTTCAAAAATTTGACGTTAAAGATATAAAGATAAAGAAACAGGTTTTGTTCGAAAGTAAAAAGGATTCTACGCGACGTCAAAGGAGCTCGAGAAGTCACTACCTCGATAGTTATATTGTCAATAAAATAAGATAGAAAAAGATATATACATATATTAAAATATTGATGGTTTGAATTAAATTTAATCGTAATCAAAGGGAAAATACTTTCCATAATTTTTATAAAAGTTAAACCAATAAATAAACCAGATGACAAACGATGACTAATTTATCTCGTCCGAATTGGAGATCGACAAGATTGAATATATCAATGTGCGCATCGCGTGCATACCGAAATGGACCAATACAGGTTCTCGCGCAATACGGGCATGCTCCGACCTCAGTTTCTCGAATTTCGCGTTGCAATGAGATATTCCACACCCGGAAATCTGATTCCCACCAAATTTCGCCCCAATGTATACATATATATATTTCGGTATATACATTGTATATATTTCAAGGAATACCCGTCCATCCGTCCATCCATTAACATCTTGGTTGCCCGAACTTCGCTCGCGAAAGTTCTCTCTTGTAACAACACCACCAGTCAAAAGTAAATTCTCCTGCGTAAATTCCGCATAGGAAATGCATTCGCGACTGTATATACACAATTCGCTGTCATAAATTATTAATTAGTTATCTCTTTCAGAAAGTATTTGCATACATGAATTATGCACAACTTTATGCATCCCGTCCTTCGCTCGAAAATCACGAACTAATTGCCTGCAACATTTTGAAACATAATTTCGCCTTTAAAAACCAAAAAATTATTAATTATTTGTAAAATAATGCGGAGAGAGTGCATTTAATGTAAATGCGACGCTTTCGATGTAATCATAATTGTTGCGCGCAGGTAGGTTGAAAGTAAGGTGATATGTTTGTTCGATTTAGCGCGAGTGACGCGTGACGCGGTCAATTAGCAACTCAATGCAGCGTCCAATTAGCCGCAACGTCCGAGAAAATAAAAATGCATTATCCTCGAGCTAATAATAATTTGATGTATCCATCAGGGATCGTATATAAAGCGGATTTTTAGAAGAGGGAAATAACCGCTGGAATCAGTTATCTCCTGGCAACGCCAGTTCCCCAATAAATCATTCGTGCGATCAATCCTCGCGTGTGCATCTCTCTTTCTCTCTCCCTCCCTCCCTCCCTCCCTCTCCCTCTTCTCGCTATTTCCGGTAGATGCGGGTCTCCTATAGCTTTTATTCATGTGCCGCAGCGACGATAAACATCTGTCTACAATCCAGGATCAGTTTTGACGCGTGACGCGGGCAATCCCTGGGATATCTCAAGCTGCTTGCCGATATCCAAAGAATACCGTATATACACTTGTTAGCATCCCTACGAGCACGTTTGGGACATGCTTAAGAGTCCTGTTGTGCCCTGGTCTTTTGAACATCGGGGATGTGTGTTATATAAGGAATACATAAAAACGTAGCTCGATAAACGTAAAACGGAGGAGAAGATGAAATTCTTTCGAAATATTTCGCTCGAATATTGCAGCCAAGCAACCATGTGCGTAATAAAGATTGATGATCAAAGCCGAATTATATAGCAGACTTGATAAATTATATCAAGCTATATATTATATTATTATTTGCTTGCTATATTATAAATTATCCTATCGCGATATATTAAACTCTCTCGCTCGGACACGGGAATGTAATAATAAATAAATGTCTCCTTCTCTCCGTCGCATTTTACGCGAGTGATGACAAAATTAAATATCTCGCATGTCCGAGAAACAGCGAAAACGCGTCAAAAATTGTACGAGAATAATAGCACGGTGACTCGGCCATGGAGCAGTGCGGTATCGATCGCTGGGCGAATGAAGACACAAAAGGGGATATTTATAATTTATCGACAGGAACAATCGACCGTCCGTTTAACGCCGCGGCGGCAAGAGGAACCGCTCGGATTTCCGCGTGTGTAGTCGATAGATATATGTACACACGCTCGCCAGGTAGGTCAGAGCGCGAGCGAGCATCTCCCCTCTCTTCCTCTCTTGTTTTAAATCCTGGGAAAGTGGGTCTCTCTCTGCCCCCGGTTGTTGTCGACTGCTATAGTGTTGGTGTCCTTATCGAGAGGCAAGCGCGCAATCCCCCGAGGATGGTCCCCGCGAACTGCAATGTGAAACTCGACCAACCGTCGCGTCGGCTTGAGTACATTTTACGGAGCCTTTGTAAACAGACTCTCACTTCCCCGTATCCCGGATTCTCTTGTGCCTTCTCATTCAATTTACTCGCGTATCCCTTCTCGATTCTCCTCGCACGCGGAATTCTAATTTCCCTGAGATAGGCACGGCGCACGGGCGCGGGGCGTTCCACCTCCGTCTTTACATTCCGCGCGGCTTGCCGCGTCGGTTAATCATTCTTGGTCAATTGGTCGCTTTTTCGCCCCTTTGAAAATATCGATTTGATGCCAGTTAAGAAAAGCCATAGAATTTATTGGGATAATTATGAATAAATATAATCGCGTATCAATATTTTCTAATAATAATATAATTGATAATTAATCGTCAAATCTTGATAATTTCGTGATATTTTAAGTTACTTCCAGCCCCTCAGAAATATCTATTTGATGCCGACTAAGAAAAGCTGTAAGACTTATTGAAATAATAATGGATAAAAATAATTGCATTTATTTTCTCAACATTTTCTAATAATTCAATTAATGTCAAATCGAATTTCTGTAATCTTGTAATATCTATTAAGTTTTCATCTCCTTGAAATATCTTGAAATACCTTGAAAATATCTACATACTTTATTAAGGAAAAGGAAATATCTCATAGATATCTATTGGATAGAGATAATTGTGGATAAAAATAATTATATATCAATATTTTCTAATAATCCAATTAATAATCGTCAAATTTCTATAATTTCGTGATTTGTATTAAATAGGAATTCCTTTATCACTTTTAATAATTTTATCATCAAATTGGTCAGATTGAAATATATTCGAATGTAACATTTATTCAATATTAAATAATCATAATTTGCAATATTGATATATTTGATAATCTGTTATATGTAGTAACAGAAAATATCAGAAATGGATTCGACACGAATTTAAAAGATGTTTCAATGATAAGATATTCAGCAACTCCATTATAAGCATTGTAATGCCGGTAGCATCGCTACAGGCAAAAGCTTCCGCCAAAAGTTTCTTTAAATAAAAGAGTTCCTTTAGTTCCTTTCTTAAGATTGATAGGCATCGTTGTAGATAACTCTGACGACGTGAATTTGTGTCGAGTTCATTTCCGATGTTGCACAATGTTAGATCATAAGTGTAACGAGTGTAATGGATAATATCTGACAAAGAAAAACGAAACATTCTTAGAACTAAAACTATTACATTCAGAAGTTTCAAACAGCTGTTTTTAATATCCTGTCCAAAGTTTGTACACCATAATAATAATCAATATGGCTCATAGATATTTACGAAAAAAATATTACTTAAAAAATCTACACTGTTTTTATTCGTTGAAATAAACGTTCTGCAAAACAAGAAAAACATGGAATAACATGTTTTTCCATCACCAACTGCCATGCAAAAAGTATGAAGAATATGTTATATAAAAATACAGGTGACCCTCGAATAACGCAGTACTTGGAATTGCACGGCGTCTCGAAAAACGCGGTAAAAAAATTGTAACAACTCTACTTTTTAAAAGTTTTTTTTAGATAATCCTTTGAAACCAAATTCCCAATTTTATTGTCGATCTGGAGTCTTGAATTGCACGATTTTCCATACGTAACAGCACGAAACGTGATCTCTAAAATTTTATGATTTCCAAGTCTCGAATAACATGCGGTTTTCAATAAGACGGAACCAATTAATCGTGTTATTCGAGGCTATTGTATTTTCTCTTACACAAATATTATTGTTCGAATAAAAGCTTTAAGTAATTTTTAGAAAGCTCTTTTGGTCTTAAAAATGATTAATGCATATGTGTGTCAGTGCTAAGTCATGAGAGTGATGATATTGTAAATATGGGAAAATTATGATAGTTGCGATATTTTTTTATAATTACAATTTGAAGTCGTTCAAGCACTGATTGAACTTCTCCTAATACATAAATCTGGATTTATTTCCAGAATGGACAAACGGCGTTGCACTGTGCTTGCGCTGGGGAACACTTGGACACGGTTGAGGCCCTTATAGGATTAGGAGCGAATGTAGACGCCCAGGATAACGATGGCAATACCCCACTTCACGTAGCTACCAGAACGAGGCACACAGGGATCGCGCAATTATTATTAAAAGCTGGAGCGAACACCGAGCTAATCGACGCGGTAAATTGAATAGCTGAGCGATCATTTGACCCTTTGTTGCATATGTATATAGTGTCTCTATTTGAAGACATCTATTTCTATTTATTGAATCAGCCATTAATTAAATCTCGATTTCAGATTTGCAATTAGAGATTTGTGCAACCCTAAAAATCCTCATATACTAAAATTCAGCAAAATATGTTTAACAGAAAAATTTGTACAACAAAAAGTTAAACGACAGGTAAAAAAGGAATGACTAGATAAACAGAATTACACGTATAAATCTGTATTTTCAACAATTATAAAATATTAATATTAATTTTTTTTAATAACTGAAAAAAATTTAGAATAACTTCTATAACAAATTTATGTTTCTGCTATTCGTTCTTATAGCTTCTTCATATTCGATTGGATGTATCGGCATAATTCGTAGAAACAAAGCATCATTGTATATAACGACGTATCATTATCTTGTATCGCGTATTCCATATCACGGATCGTTATTTCGTATGATTAATCTGTATCAACTATCTCCAGGAGGGTTTTACTCCCCTTCATGTCGCCGCAAGCCAGGGATGTAAAGGAATACTCGACTCCATGATTCAGCACGGGGCCGATCTTAACAAGCAGTGTAAGGTACAGATATATCTCGTTATTTCCAAATATAATCCGTCCCGAGACTGGTTGCATGTATAACGATGGCCAACAATATATTGTCGATGCATTATTGCGCACAGAAATATCTCGACGTTCGATCGCAGGCACGCAATTGTGATGCGATGAACAATATTAATTAGCAAAAAGAAAAAGGGACGCGAAAGAATTTAATTCCACCGCGAAAAAAACGTACGAACGGATCGTATGAATTTTCTCCGTTATCTGTTACAGAACGGTAATACACCTTTGCATCTGGCCTGCCAAAACAACAAAGTAGAAACGGTAGAGATATTAATTAACAAAGGCGTCGATCTCAATTGTTTGAATTCGGTATGTAAAACGTGGACTACATTTTGTGTATTTAATCCCTTTTCATTATTATATTATATTATTATAATTTTAATTGATTTAACTCCTAATAATCATTGTATTATTAATGCCATGAGAAATAAGGTTGCATAAACTTATTTCACTCTACGCAAACAATATTACGTTTGCTAATCTCCAAACTTTCCGAAAATGAAATTTTTACAATCACACTCGCGGTATCAATATCGGAAAACTTGTAATAGGATTGTTTAATTTTTCTGTTTCCTATCGATTTGCTTCAGAGGCTCCAATCGTCCATACATATCGCGGCCGAGATGGGACATACGGATATCTGCGAATTACTTCTTGCAGCAGGCGCGAATATCGAGCAGAAAGAACAGGTAAATACCGTCCAAGTATTGTACCGTAATAATTGAGAGAATTGGATATTATCGTGTTATATCCTTTGACGATATAATTAACTAAATCCGTTTATACTCCAACCCCATATTATCGACGCTTGACTAAATCATTTGTGGACATTGTCTCGTTTTATTGAATAAATTGCTATGCCATGAATTTAGAGCTTGATCTACGGTAGAATTATAATCGAGCACAAATTATTCAATAAATCAATTAAACTTTACTTATAAACTAATCACTAAATCCGCTTGACAAATTAAGTCGTAATTCTTATGATGCGAAAGAAGGTTCCAAAGACATAACAACTAATTAAAAAAAGAATCTAATTAAATCTCCGTAAATCAAAAGAAGCACTGAAATATTGTTACAAGCTAAAAAATAACTCTTAAATACTCTTTGTATATTATTGCATTCTTTGATAATGTCCCTTAATTAACAGATCTGCTTTAATAGTGACCTCCTACGTTGCGTTGTAATGCTTTAAATTCGATCAAGTAATTCAATAACGTTATCGTTTCAATTATTGTTCCACATGAACAAATAGCTACAATAATCTTGACAATAGTAATAAAAATAGAAATCAAATAGCAGTAAGTATGTATAAAAATGTTGATAAAATTAATAACAGTATACTAGCAAAATAAAGAACTAGAAACATGACGAGAATTCGAATTCATGATGTACGTTCGTCGTTTATTAAAGCATTAATTTGAACAATAATGCAAAATAAAAAAAGACTTAACGACTCAATATTTTGTTTCTTACAACTTTTTGCTTTGCATGGAGAAACGCTGCAAAAGGATAAAGGATTTAATCTCATGACACACAGCTCCAATAATATAACATCCCACCCTTAATTAACACATCGGACGAAAAGTCTGTCGCGCGTGCACAGCACGAGGCGGGATGGGGGAGAGAGGAGGTCGACAATGTGACACGTGCCACGGGAAATTGACTTGCGCTATTTGCAGAAAGCTCCGAACGCCTTATTCCCTTGATCCAGTCGCGCTGCGGTTAACGCGATATGGTTGCCAGACTGACGGCAACCGTCGCGAACTCGATAATAAAGTTAACCCGAAGTTTATCCTGATGTTCGCAGAGCGGCCGGACGCCACTTTACATCGCAGCGAGGGGCAGTTTCACGGCCATCGTCGACATGATCATTAAGACCGCCAGATTGGATTATCCGACCCCGGTAGGCACACGTCCGCCGTAGTTATAAGAATTTCGTTTAACGTCGTTCGCCTGTCCTTTCACCTCCTGGCCTAGACGCCGTAAGCTACTTTTACAAACCTTGAAATTTCGATGTTAAAAAAAAATACGCAATATGACGTAGTATCTCACATATTTTAATCGCGAAAATTTTCAATTTTCAATTTAAATTTGTTTAGTTTGCTTGTGGCGCTCTTTATTTTTCTATTGAATTATTATATATTCACTCACACGAAAATTTTATATTGCTCCAGGTATTGTTCCAATAAAAAGCATGAATTTGATGCAAGTTCAAATTTAAATAACAAACAAACAAAATAAATATGCGTTTTATTGTCAGTCACCACATGCTAGAGCAGAGTGACTCTATTTGTTCTACACACATTAAATTAAAGTCGGATAATAAAAACAAAAAAACTGAAATTCAGGAAATCTCGAATTCTGACAAGGAGGTCCGAGAGCTGACTCCGGCGCGAAGATGGTGGAGGGAAGGATCGCGCGGTGGCAGCATCTCCAGCAACAACGGCCGCCTCACGGAGCAAGTTCGATCCGTTTTATGGAAATTGGCCTACAAGCAACTGGCACCTGGAGACTGGAAAAAGTTGGCCTTTCATTGGGCTTTCACCCCCGAGCAGATCAGAGCTATCGAGCATCAGTATACGGGTAAATCGGTATTATGAGTCGTTATAGGCTCTCATAATTATTTCTTGAGACATATCGATCGATATGATAATTATTTATCATACATCTCTGCGATTTTCATACATTTTACATCATTAGTTTTAAGGTATTAATTAAAATTCACATTTAAAAATCTTAGGACTCAGTTAAAGATGGAAAAACATAATCATTTGAAAACTTAGATTTATACCAATCCATCGAGATACAAAAGTAAATATACGTTACTCGCAAAATAATAATTCGGAAAATAATAATAAATATACATCATACATTATATCACAACCCAGGTAGCAAAGTGACTTCAAATGACGTATTAATAACCTTTTAATTATGTTCTCTAAAGTCAATAAGACGTCTTTAAACGTCATCCTGCTACCTGGGAACGTATGATAAAGTGACTAACACAAAATTAATTACGGATTATATACATATACGTGTAGAATTTGTACCTCGATATTTCTATAGTGCGTCTAGAGCAGCTTTATGAAAAGGACGATAAAGCCTCAATTGCAGGTCCCTCGAGTTACAAGGAGCACGGATTTCGAATGTTAATGATCTGGGCCTCCGGACTGAATCCAGACATACCATTGATAAAAGAGCTCTGTGAAGCTTTATCAGCGGTGAACAAGAAAGCAGTTGCTGGTATAAATTCATTTCATTATTATTATTATTATTATTATTATTATTATTATTATTTGATTGTTATCTCAACAAACTTCTTGCCGTGCACAATAAAAATATCCCTTATCCACGAAGATAACAATGGACTACAGCGCCACTGGCGTTTATAGAGATAATAATAATACGCGTGATATGTCTAAGATTGAATTTCATATTGAATAGATTTTCCAACAAAGAGATTCTATTTGCTTTCACCCATTTTGCAGATTCCATTCGCAAACAAGTGGAGCAGGGAGACGACGGTAAGAAATCGAAAGGACAACGATGTCACAAATGCTCCATCACGTGAATGTTTACAAGTGCCAAGTGCTCACACGTTAATTCTACACACACATATGATATATGAAAATGGATATTGTATGTAATAACGAATGGATATTGTAATTTACGATATAATAGCTGTTCTCGTTAAAAGCTTACTTGCAATGTAATGAGGAGAGTTCAACGAACTTGGCGAATGTCATTAACGAAGAATTTATGAGAAAGGAAAAGAAAAAAGTATATACGATTGTATAAATGCCTTTTGTACGAATAATACGTAATGTTACGCCAAATTATTAGGACCCAAATAACGAATATATAATTTTATGGCAAAGCTATAGCTGTCATAGATCATTTCGAGAGAATAAGAATTTTTCTTTATAAAATTTCAGGCATATAATTCGACGAGAGTTTACATCAATACTCGCAAACTTTTTAGTAAAAAAAAAACGTTCGAACTTAACTCAAAGTAAGACTCGTCATAAATACAATTAATCTGTCGGTGTTATTGTGTAAAAAATCACGTAATTAAAAAATTCCAAAGAAAATAAAATTCATAATAAGTTATTCACAAATTTTTGGACCAGGAAGATTGTATAATCTTATCCTATCGTATTCTAGACAAGTTGATTGAAGATTATAATTACATACAGTAGCTTCACTTTAGAGTTACTCACTTTAAAAAAGTCTATAGACCTGTTATATCGTCGCTAGGTTAAATATCATTTACATGACGCGACAACGGTGAAGAAGATATTTGAATTATATACAAATAATATGTGCAAAAAGAGAAATACTTAAAATGGAGTATTTGAATAATTATACGTACGAAACCAAGCCGTCCTAAGCTAATTTTAATTCAGGCGGACTATCACATTTCCGTTTTACTTTCGCGATTCTTTTATATATATAAGAGAAGCGCCTCCGTAATTCGTATTATAGAAACAAAAGTTAGGACGCAGAAGCCATCGAAAAAGCGATACAATTGTAAAATCAAAGTAACAATCGAATGTACAGACTTTTCGGAATAATATTAATAACGCATAGAGTAAGTGTGAGAGTAAATTTTGCAGGGCTTTCGATGTGATAACAGTTTATTAGATTAGACCTATTAGACCTCGAATAAGGAATGTAATGTAAAATCCATAGCGATTATCGTACGGTTCTCGAGAAAGAGAGACAATCTACATATCTGAAACTTACAAATTTAGATCTAACTACGAACGATAACATTGTACGCGCGTAATTTCATCTTTCGCAGAATTATATAAATTAAAAGTTATATATATGTTACGCCCAAACACCGAAATCGCTCAGTGAGCGAAAAAAACACCCATAACGCGTTGTGGACGGTGCTGATCATCCAAATACCGAAATGAGATATTTTTCCGGTGTGTGGACGTTTTTATTATCCACAACGCGATATGTGCATTTGAAAAACGTCCACGACGCGTTCTGGATAACTTGAAATGCTCACAAAGCGATTAGTCATCTCCAAAGCGACAACGGACGAGAATTTGTTAACCACGTAATTCAAAACTTAGTAGATATGTGGCCAGGCTTGAAACTTGTGCACGGAAAGCCTCGTCATTCCCAAAGTCAAGGATCTGTGGAAAGATCTAATCAAGATGTGCGAGACATGTTGGTAGCATGGATGTTAGATAATAATACGAAACAATGGTCAGAGGGTCTAAGGTTTATTCAAAGCAAAAAAAATCGCTCACTACATGAAGGAATAAAGAAAAGTCCTTACGAAGCCATGTTTGGCATGAAACAAAGAATCGGATTAGCAGATTCTTCACTGGAAAAGGAAACATATGAATCATTGGAAACAGAAGAAGATTTGGAAAGAATATTGGATGGGATAACAACTGGACCAGATAATGAAACAGAAGACAATTTGTACAATACAGATTTATGTGCTATTTGTGAAGAATGTGGGATTCTCGTAACATGCCAAAAATGTAGTCTTAAGGTACATGTAAAATGTGGAATTGAAACTGAAGATCAAGTCGTATGTAGCCGTTGCAACAGAACTGATGCAATCAGAGATCAACGTGAAGATGCTAAATCCGGATTGGAGAAACAAGCTGCAAAAATGTTATCTTTGTCTTGCCAAAAACTTCCTCCTGCTGAGGTAGGTCAAAACGTCGTAGTTAAAGTTCCAGATGTTGACAGGGGAAGACTTGCTCCCAGAAATGTGCTGGCTGCGGTTTTAAGCGTTAATAAATGTGGTTTGTATAAGTTGGGAACAAAAAATGGAGAGCTAGAAAGACTTTATAGTAGAAATGAATTCACGTTTGCCGATTCCAATTTTATCAAACTATCAGAAGTCCTTAGCACGTTATTAAATTTGAGACAAGCTTCAGTTCTCGCGTCGGGGTCAAAACAAGGATTTGTTATGTGCAATTGCAAGCGTTATTGTATTTCTAAAAAGTGCAATTGTCGGTCCAAAGAAGTTCTCTGCAATTCAAAATGTCATAACAACAGCGAGTGCAAGAACAAATAATTCTATTCAATGATTTCTTTTAATTTTTGTACTATTTTCAAAGTTTTTTTGTTTGATTTTATATCATTTTGTTATATTTTATATTCATAGACAACAATGTTCCTAAACAGTAATGTTATCA